TTTTTAAATATTGCTTTGGCTATCCGGGGTCTTTCTGGTTCCATACAAATTTTAGGATCGTTTGTTCTAGCTCCTTAAAGAATGCTGGTGTTATTTTGATAGGTATTACATTGAATTTGTAGATTGCTTTGGGTAGTATTGACATTTTAATAATACTTGTTCTTCTTATCTATGAGCATGGAATGTTTTTCCATTTTTTTGTGTCTTCTTCAATTTCTTTCATAAGCTTTCTGTAGTTTTCAGTGTATAGATTTTTCGCCTCTTTGGTTAGATTTATCCTGTATTTTATGGTTTTTGGTGCAAGGAATTGATCCCTTGATTTCTCTTTCTGTTGCTTCATTATTGGTGTATAGGAATGCAACCGATTTCTGTGCATTGATTTTATATTCTGCGACTTTGCTGAATTCATGGATCAGTTCTGGCAGTTTTTTTGGTGGAATCTTGGGTTTTCCGTATAGAGTGTGGTGTCATATGCAAAGAGTGAAAGTTTAACCTCCTGCTGGCCGATTTGGATGCCTTTTATTTCTTTGTGTTGTCTGACTGCTGAGGCTAAGACTTCTAATACTGTGTTGAATAACAGTGGCGAGGGTGGACCTCCCTGTCTTGTTCCTGACCTTGTTCTTGAAAAGCTCTCATTTTTTCCCCATTGAGGATGATATTAGCACTGGGTCTTGAGGTGTTATTATTATGAGTGGGTCTCTTAAATGTTGTCTCTTTAGATACACGCATACAGACTCTTTCTGATAGATTTTTCAGTATTTATGTAATCTTAGAAGAGAGGACGTTTTGTGTATAACACCAAAGGAAACTTATTAAATGGGAAAATAAAGTTTATCCTATGTATTTCACTAATTAGAATCTTACTTGAATTAACAAGGTTATCTTTTAGTTACTTAAAATCATAGCATTTTAGTTATTTATATTAAATTTTTGCCCAAATTGTCTTTTAAAAATCACTTTATTTACCTTGCTAGCACCTAGTATTATTGAAGACTTTGCCAATAAAAGGTGTAAAATGGATAGATTTTGAATGTATCTGTAATTAACTCAGAAGAGTTAATTCTATACAGTAAATAAGAATAATAATGATAATAATGATAGAGTAATAGTTACCATAAGTGGGTGCCAGGCATGCATTTATTTTTTTTTATTTTTATTTATTTTTTTTTTAATTTTTTTTTTCAACGTTTATTTATTTTTGGGACAGAGAGAGACAGAGCATGAACGGGGGAGGGGCAGAGAGAGAGGGAGACACAGAATCGGAAACAGGCTCCAGGCTCTGAGCCATCAGCCCAGAGCCTGACGCAGGGCTCGAACTCACGGACCGCGAGACCGTGACCTGGCTGAAGTCGGATGCTTAACTGACTGCGCCACCCAGGCGCCCCAGGCATGCATTTATAATAATTGTACTTGTAGGCTTTCCTTCACCAATCCTAAGAATCAGATACTATTGTTCCCCTATTTTTCAAATGAGAAAATTGAGGATCAGAGAGGTTAATTGATTTACTTAAGGTCAGGTATCTAGTAAGTGGCAGAGTTAAAATATGAACCCAGATGTGTCCACATATGACTTATTTTTTTTAAAAGCAGTTTTAGGTTCACAGCAAAATTGAGAGGAAGTTACAGAGATTTCCCATATACATCTCTGATCCTACACATGCACAGCCTCCTCCATTAATAATCATTCACCAGAGTGGGGCATTCATTACAATTGATGAACCTACTTTCACACATCATAGTCACTCAAAGTGCATAGTTTACTTTAAGGCTCATTCTTGGTGTTATACCTTCCGCAGGTTTGGATAATTGTATAATGACCTGTATCCATCTTTATAGTAACATAGAGTGTTTTCACTGCCCTAAAATTCTTCTGTGCTCCATCTATTCATTACTCACCCATTCCCCAAGCCCTGGCAATCACTGATCTTTTTACTGTCTTTCCTGGAATGTTGTATAGTTAGAATTATGCAGTATATAGCCTTTTCAGATTGACATTTTTCATTTGGTAAAACTAAATAAAACTTAAATATGCATTTAAGTTTTCTCTAGGTTTTTCTGTGGCTTGATAGCTTATTTCTTTTTAGTGCTGCATAATATTCCATTGTCTGGGTATACTACAGTTTGTTCATTCACCTACTGAAGGACATCTTGGTTGCTTCTAAGTTTTGGCAGTTATGAATAAAACTGCTGTAAATATCCATGTGTGTTTTTTTTGTGTAGATACAACTTTTCACCTCCTTTGGATAAATACCAAGGAGTACAATTCCTGGCTCATATGGTAAGCGTGTGTCTAGTTTATAAGAAACCAACAAACTGTTTTTCAAAGTGGCTGTACCATTTTGCGTTCCCACCAGCAATGAGTAAGAGTTCCTGTTCCTCCACATACTCTGCAACATTTAGTGTTGCTGGTGTTCCAGAGTTTGGCTGTTCTAATATGTATGTGTAGTGGTATCTCATGGTTGCTTAAATTTGTTTTTTTCAGATAACATTTTAAACAGCTTTTCATATGATTACTTGTTGTCCACATACTTATTTGGTAAAGTGCTGTTAAGGTCTTTGGCCCATTTTTTAAAAATAAAGTTGTTTTCTTATTGTTGAGTTTTAAGAGTCCTGTATATATTTTGGACAACAGTTCTTTATCAGATGTGTCTTTTGCATATATTTTCTCTCATTCTGTGGTATGTCTTCTTATTCTCTTGACATTGTACTTCATTAATGTTAAAAACTTCTGCTCTGCAAAAGACAACTTATCAGTTGTTTCTTTCATGGATCATGCCTTTGGTGTTGTATTTAAGAAAGCATCACTATACCCAAGGTCATGTAGATTTTCTTATCTTCTAAAGAGTTTTATGGTTTTATGTTTTACATTTAGGTCTGTGATACATTTTGAGTTAATTTTTATGAAGGATGTTAGGTTTGTGCTTGCATTAATATTTTTGCATGTGGATGTCCAATTGTGCCAGCACCATTTGTTGAAAAGACACCTTTTGCTTTTAACACATGCAGTATTGCCTTCCCCTTCTAGTGTATTGATAAGCCCTGCTTATTTTGAGGAAATCACTCTTCAATTTGGAGTGAAGAATCTTGGCTGGGGGACTTTTTGAGAGAGAGATGTCTGTGCCTTCTATGTCGCTACAGTGGTGTTGAACTTAGAGCAATTTGCAACAGAAGGATGGGAATGAGTTTTGCCAAGACCCTGATAATAGCACTTCAGGCATACCATTGAACACTCTGATTGTTTTATGTTACCAGTACTTAATTATAGTATTTCTTTGAGTCTCTCTTGCTGTACTTCAGATATTAATTAAAGATATACTATATTTCAAATACTTGTGGCAGCATTTATCACTTTGTATTTCAGTGATTTATTTGTGTGACTGTTACTATTTTCTCACAGTAGAATGGAAGGCATTAGCTTATGTTCCTATCCTTAACATGTGATACAGATACGTCATGGAGGAAGTGTTCCACTTTCTCATCTCAGACCCATGTATTCATAGGTAATAGATGATAGAGGTGATCTTGATAAGTTGTTATTACTGCTGGTAGTCGTAGTTTGCGCTGAAAATACATACTCCTTATTTGAATTAGTAGTTGTAAAAATTATTTAAAATTAATTGCTTAGCTTAAATAGGTCTTCCTCCAGATCAGGTCAATTTGATATAAAATTCACTTTCTGTGAAGGGTTATGGTTAATTTCTCAAATGACATTTTGATATTAAGGTTTTTATTTGAAAAAGCAAATACTTCCCTTTTTTTGGAAACCAAAAAACCAGATAAAGCATTTTTTTAAATATTGCCCAAGTTCATATAATTTTCAGTAGGCAAGTATGAAACACTACCTGTAGTGCACAGGTTAATAGGTATGTTGAATCTGAAGATACTTACCTTTCTCTTGATGCTTGAGCAGTTCATTATTAAAATTAAATGGTTGGCAAGGATGTGGAGAAATTGGAACCCTTATATCCTGCTGGTGGGGATGTAAAATGGTACACCTACTTTGGAAAACAGTCTGGCATTATTCAACAGAGTTATCATATGACCCAGTAGTTCCACTCCTAGGTGTATGCCAAGAGAAATGAAAACATATGTCCACACAAAAACTTGTGCATGAATGTTTATAGTAGCATTATGCACACTAGACAACAACCCAACAACCCAGTAGAAACAGCCCAGATCTCTATCAACTGATGAATGGGCAGATAAAAAGGATACCTGTACAGTGGAATATTGTTTGTCAATAAAAGGAATGAAGTACTGATACATGCTACAACATGGATGAACCTTGAAAGCATGCTAAGTGTGAAAGAAGACAGTCACAAAAAACCATATGTTATATGAATCCATTTCTGTGAAATGTCCAGAACAGGCAAATCTATAGAAATGGAGAGTAATTGGTAGTAGCCTGGGGCCAAGGGGGAGGGACTGGGAGGAAATAGGGTGACTATGTGGGGTTTCTTTTTGGGGTGATGAATATGTTTTTAATTCGCTTATGGTGATGGTTGCACAACTGTGAATATATTAAAACCATTGAATTATAGGGGCGCCTGGGTGGCTCAGTCGGTTAAGCATCTGACTGGCTCAGGTCATGATCTTGCGGTTTGTGAGTTTGAGCCCCGCGTCAGGCTCTGTGCTGACAGTTCGGAGGCTGAAGGTGCTTCAGATTCTGTCTCCCTCTCTCTCTGCCCCTTCCCCCGCTTGTGCTGTCTCTCTCTGTCTCTCAAAAATGAATAAATGTAAAAAAATTAAAAAAAAAAACATTGAATTATACAGATTAAATGGGTGAATTATATGGTATGTGAATTTTATTTCTGTAAAACTGTCAAGAATTCAAATGATTCTTGGGCATTATCAATAATAGCCCTTTTGTATTGTTTCTTCATTCTCCAAGGAAAAGAGTTTAAGTTGCTTAAGAAGCACAGTTCCGTTTTTATTGATTTATTACTACAAAATACTATTTGTTTACATGTATTCACTACTGATTATCATGTTTCTGTTAGTTTCTAGTGCCAAACTAAAAAGAAAAAAGAACTGGTTTGGAACAGCAATATATACAGAAGTAGTTGTAGATGGAGAAATTAAGAAAACAGCAAAATCCAGTAGTTCTTCTAATCCAAAATGGGATGAACAACTAACCGTGTAAGTACCTTGCATAGAGAATGCAAAATTTCCAAAAGGGAAAGTATGCTTGAAAATTTTTTGTGACTTTGTTGTTGTAGTTGTAAGATGACTTCAAAGTAGGAGTGCGATTTTCTAGTGTGAATATACAATTTTAAGTATGATGAGACTTTTGGTTAATTTTATTTTCTTTAGAGAGGAAGTATAATAATTCTTGCTTTTTGTTTTATTAACTGCATTATTCCATATACCCATATTTTCTGTTACTGTCTTGTAAAAATAGTGTAAAAAATCAGTTATCCTTAATTTTGTCATTTGAAACATAATGTTGGCATAGAAGTGTTAAAAAATAATGCCATCAGTTGTCTTAAATCTTTAGGAATTTGTTCAAATAGAAATAGTGTTATTGTGAAATCTCAACAGGACTCTTGATCTATTGCTGCTATTTTGGTTTGCTAATTATAAAAATTCTTAGTTACTGAAGTCCTAATATACGTGAAAGCAAATCATTATTTTTATTTATAATTCAGATAGTTTACTGTTTCATACAGTATTTTTTCTCAAACTGAATTCATGGCTTTTTAAAAATTATTGAAGTAAATGTATACTCCTGTATTTTTGTTACAATTTTACCCATACAGAAATGTGACCCCACAGACTACATTGGAATTTCGAGTTTGGAGTCATTATACTTTAAAGGCAGATGCTTTATTAGGAAGAGCAACCATAGATCTGAAACAAGCTCTGTTAATACACAATAGAAAATGTAAGTTTTTGTTCTGATCTTTGTTTCTTTAAAAACTTATTTTAGACTCTTTACAAAGTATCCTGAAGTCCAACAGCAAAAAATAGTTTTGTATTTACAAAAGAGAACTTTTAGTTATTGCCTGTGATTGCTTTTAAGTTTGTGGTATTACATGAAATAGGAAGTACTCTGACCTTTCTCCATCTAGCAGATTTACAGGATGATCTTAGTTATCCATGAGTACCCTGTTATCAGTGATCATCAGTGATTTATTATTTTCTTATTACATACTTTAAAACTTGACAAAATGAACATAATTTGAGCCTATTGCTAACTTTGTTAGTAATTTGTACAGGATAAATTCTTACTCACATTTTCTTATTATATAACTAGTTCATTATAGAAACTACAGAGAATATACAAAATCATAGAGGAATATAAATTATCTGTAATTCTATCCGAGGATAACCACTCCTAATAACTTGGTCTCTTGTCTTTTTACTGTTCATAGATACATATTTCTTTTTTTGCATCTACTGGTTTATCCCCTGCTTTTTTCATTTAACAATGTAATATGAACATAATGTTTACATGATACTAAATATTTCTAGCCTGGGTAAGATGGTTTAAGCTTCAGTTATTTGTAAATCTCCTTCATTGCATGCAAAAATTTTGGGGTATCCTTATGTTCATAATTCTGGGATAAGAGTTCATTTCTTTTAGCAAAATCTCAAAATATTGGGTGGTCCAAAGAGTCTGGTTTATGATTTAACTTATCCCTTATTGTTTAACATTTAGGCAGTTCCTAATAGTTCACTCAAATCAGTGCCCCTGTTCAGATATGTAAATCTTCCTGTGCACTCCTTTATTTCTTTAGAAATTTTCTCATTTCCAAAAGATGTGCTGAGTTACAGGCTAAAATGCTAATGTTTTAAATAATGAATTGATTTTTTAAAGTTTTTTTCTGTTTTTAACAAAAATCCACATACAACCTAAAAATCTGTGTTTGATGTAGTTTTTGGACATAAGGAGTTATGAGTCAAGAAAATGTAAAAGCCTTACCAATTTTTATGTGTACAGATGTTTTAAAAAAATACTCTTTTGAAGCAATGAAAGTTTAATTCCCTGCTATGCCATGGCTTTTGGTCATGCAATTCTCTCTTGGTTATTGAAATAAGTAGTAGGTCTTTTAAGCATATAATACCCTGCCTGGTCTGATGGTGGCTGGATTTGTGCTTTTTTCTTGGCTATATGGCATTATTGGTGTAAATATATAATACCTCAGTTAACTTCTGTTATTTCAGAATTATGTTTGGTTTTGCCAATTTATATTAGCGCTTTCTGCATTTGATTAAGTTTTGCATGAGACTTTTATTTATTTTTTTTTTTTTGAGTATACTTGATGTACAATGCTACATTAGTTTCAGATATACAACATAGTGATTTAACAACTCTATATTTAGGCTGTGCTCACCACAAGTGTAGCCACGGTTACCATACAAAGCCATTATAACACCACTGACTATATTCCCCATGCTGTACCTTGTATGCTTGTGACTTATTCCGTAACTTGGAGCCTATGTCTCCCACTTCTTCACCCATTTTTGTCCATCCCCCATCCTTTCCCCTCTGGCCACCATCAGTTTGTTCTCTGTATTTGTGTGTCTATTTCTCCACACGTAAGTGAAATCATATGTTATTTGTCTTTCTCTGACTTGTTTCACTTAGCCTCTAGGTCTGTCCATGTTGTCGCAGATGGCAAGATCTCATTCTTTTTTAGGGTTGAGTAATATCCGTGTGTGTGTGTGTGTGTGTGTGTGTGTGTGTGTGCGCGCGCACGCACGCGCACACACACGTGTATATAGATACATAGACACACGTATATATGTATATACGTACATATATACACACATATATACATATATACACACATTCCACATCGTTTGATTTTTTTTTTTAACTTTTTTTTTTTTTTTTAAGTTTTATTTATTTTGGGAGGAAGGACTGAGATACAGGGAGAGACAGAATTCCAAGCAGTCCCCACACTGTTAGCCTGACGCAGGGTTGAACTCACAAACTGTGAGATCATGACCTGAGTCCGAATCAAGAGTTGGACACTTAGCTGACTGAGCCACACAGGTGCCCCCACATCTTTTTTATCCATTCATCTATTGATAGACATGGGTTCTTCCATATCTTGGCAGTTGCAAATAATGCTGCAGTAAACATAGGGATGCATGTATCTCTTCGAGTCAGTGTTTTCGTTTTCTTTGGGTAAATACCCAGTAGTAGAATTACTGGATCATATGGTATTTCTATTTTTAATGTTTTGACAAACCTCCATACTGTTTTCCACAGTGGCTGCATCAATTTATATTCCCACAACAGTGCACATTCCCACAACAATACATTCTCCACATTCTCCCCAATGCTTGTTATTTCTTGTTATTTCCACATTCTGACAGGTGTGAGGTGATACCTCATTGTGGTTTTGCTTTGTATTTCCCTGATGATTAGTGATGTTGAGCATCTTTACATGTCTGTTGGCTATCTGTACATTTTCTTTGGAAAGATGTCTGTTTAGATCCTCTGCCCATTTTAAATGTTTATTTATTTTGAGAGAAATAGAACAGGCCAGGGAGGGGCAGAGAGAAAGAAAATCCGAAGCAGACTTTGCTGTCAGCTCAAAGCCCCGACATGGGGCTCACAAACTGAGATCATGACCTGAGCTGAAACCAAGAGTTGGACACTTAACTAAGCCACCCAGGCTCCCCTCTACCCATTTTAAATCAGATTATTTGGGGTTTTTGGTGTTGAGTTGTAGAAGTTTTTTGTTTTTGTTTTTGTTTTTTTTTTATCAGTCCCTTATTGGATAGATCATTTGCAAATATCTCCTCCCATTTACTAGTTCCCTTTTTGTTTTGTTGATGGTTTCCTTTGTTGTCGCAAAAGGTTTTTCGTTTGGTGTGGTCCCAATAGTTTACTTTTGCTTTTGCTTCCCTTGCCTGAGGAGACCTTTCTAGAAAAATGTTGCTAAGGCCAGTGTCAAAGAGATTACTCCCTTTATTTTCTTCTGGGAATTTATGATTTCAGATCTCACATTTGGGTCTTTAATTCATTTTGAGTTTATGTGTGTGGTTTAAGAAAGGGGTTCAGTTTCATTTTTTTTTGCATGTAGTTAGCTAGTTTTTCCAGTGCCATTTATTGAACAGACTGTCTTTCCCCCTGTGAATTCTTGCCTCCTTGGTCATAGAATAACCATATAAGTGTGGGTTTATTTCTTGGCTCTGTATTCTGTTCCATTAATCTATGTGTCTATTTTTGTGCCAGAACCATACTGTTTGATTATTATTGCCTTGTAGTATATCTTAGAAGTCTGTGATTATGATACCTCCAAGCTTTGTTCTTTTTCAAGATTGCTTTGGCTGTTTGGGCTCTTTTGTAGTTCCATACAAATTTTAGGACAATTTGTTTTAGTTCTGTGGAAAATACTATTGATATTTTGATAGGGATCGCATTAAATCTGCAGATTGCTTTGGGGAGTATGGACATTTTAACAATATTCTTCCAACAGATGAATATGGTATGTCTTTCCATTTCTGTCATCTTCAATTTGCTCATTAGTGTTTTATAATTTTCACAATATCAGTCTTTTACCTCCTTGGTTAAGTTTATTCCTAGATATTTTATTCTTTTGGTATAACTATAAATGGAATTGTTTTCTTTTTTTCTTAATTTTGTAAAAAAATTTTATTTACTTAAAAATTTTTTTAATGTTTATTTATTTTGAGAGAGAGAGCGCACGAGCCGGGAGAGACAGAAAGAGAGAGACAGACAGACAGAAACCGAAGTAGGCCCCAGGCTCCATGCTGTCAGCACAGAGCCCAACATGGGGCTTGAACCCATGAGCTATGAGATTATGACCTGAGCCAAAGTCAGATGCTTAACCTACTGAGCCACCCTGTTGCCCCAGAATTGTTTTGTTAATGTCTCTTTCCCCTACTTCACTATTAGTGTATAGAAATGTAACGGATTTCTGTATGTTAATTTTGTATCCTGAAAGTTTACTGCATTCATCTATTAGTTCTGATAGATTTTTGGTGGAGTCCTTAGGGTTTTCTGTGTGTGGTATCATGTCACCTCCAAATAGTGACAGTTTGACTTTTTTCTTGCCATTTTGGATATCTTCTCTTCTTTTTCTTGTTTGATTGCTTTACCAAGGATTTTAAATACTATGTTGAATAAAAGTGGCAAGAGTGAACATCCTTGTCTTGTTCCTGATCTTAGAGGAAAAGCTCTCAGTTTTTACAGTGAGTATGATATTATTAGGTGTGGGGTTTTCGTATATGGCTTTTATTACATTCCCTGTAAACCCACTTTGTTTAATTTTTATTATGAATGTATGTTGAACGTTGTCATAAGCCTTTTCTGCGTCTATTGAGATGATCATATGGTTTTTATCTTTGATTTTGTTAATGTGGTGTATCACATTGATTTGTGAATATTGAACCATCCCTACATCCCCAGGATAAATCCCACTTGATTGTAGTGAATGATCCTTTTAATGTATTGTTGAATACAGTTTGCTAAAATTTTGTTGAGGCGTTTTGCATTTGTGTTCATCAGGAATATTGGCCTGTAGTTTTCTTTTTTTGTAGTGTCTTTGGTTTTGGTATCAGAGTAATTTTGGCCTTGTTGAATGTATTTGTAAGTTTTCCCTCCTCTTCTATTTTTTGGAATAGTCTGAGGAGAACAGGTATTAACTCTTCTTTAAGTGTTTGGTAGAGTTCTCCTATGAATCCATCTGGTTCTTTGTTTTTTGGGAATTTTTTCCCCAATTTCGTTACTAGTAATTGGTCTGTTCTGATTTTCTGTTTTTTTCCTTATTCACTTTGGAATATCATATATTTCTAGAATTTATCCATTTCTTCTAGGTTATCCAATTTGTTGGCATATAATTTTTATTTTTTATTTTTTAACGTTTATTTATTATTGAGAGACACAGAGAGACAGAGCATGAG